ACAGAGAAAAAATAATAAAGACGAATTGGGATTTGGGTCTTGGATCAGCAGCTGCGACTAAAAATCAGCTTCAGCTGCTTTTGCATCTCTCTCACCCCATGGCTAATACTCCCAGATCTCTCTGTTTCTCCCTCTAGAAACTTTCTTCTTGTTCTTCTTGTTCTTAATTTCTCTGTATTTCTCTGTTTGCTTTGTAATTCAGTGTTGAATGTTGATATAATTGCGCTATTGGTGTACTATCTCGCAGCTTTTGAAAAAACCTGTCAAAGGGAGGACGAATACATTACTGGGTAAAAGCAGGAGCAAAACCCCGACCAAGAAAAAGTAAACGGATCACTGCAACTTCTTTTCTTTCTATAAATTATAATCACTGCTTGAATAATTTTTCGTGATTAAAGAATAATATGACAAAAATATAAAATTTTTTGTTTAATTGGAATATTGAGAATTTGAGGGAGTTGGTAAAAGAAAATAATTAAAATTTTGAGGAAAAAAAAAAAAACATGAGAAAGAACCGGGATTTGACTAAATTGCCCTTCTGATTAGGGCATAAAAAATGTTCTTTTCTTGTGCTTCTAAAAGTTTGACTTGCTTACTATTTTTAGGGTTCCAAAATCGCTTGCCATGTTCTCTAGGAGGATTTTTATTTTATTATTAACTTTTTTTTGTGGCTCAAATTCACGTGTTTCATCCCTTGGAATTTTTTAATTTGATAAGTGATTTTAGGTTTAAAGAAATGTATAATTTATTTACCATCATTTGTAGCTAATTCGTTTTGGGGTTAATTTGGTTAAATTCAACCTAAAAGATAAATAAGTAGTGAAATTAATGCTTATCTTAAAAATTAAGTTAGAAAATTGCTCCCGAACCAACTAATAAATTGTAGAGGATTTAACGGCAAGTATATCATGGTTAAGGCAATTTCTGGCTTTAATTATTATTTAATTATGATGTAACGTTCTAAAAAATTAGACTGGAGATTGAACTCACAATCTCATAGTTGGAGGTATATGTCATTTAACGCTGAATTGTGCTCACTTTGGCAATTAGACGTGATGTTAATACAAGCATAGCTCAACAGTTATACCTTGTTCTTTTTCTAGAGGTCGAAAGGTTCAATCACTTTGACTTTTTCTCGAGGATATATGTTTTTTATCAACTTTTTTTCTTTATTCTTTTTAAAATTTCTTTTTTGGTTAGTTCAACGAGGAGATTCATAGCTCCTATATTTCGATGGAAGATATGTCTTAACAATTGAGTTATGTTGAAATTGGTTTTTTCTTTAATTTGATTTATGAGATATCTTAGATTTATAGAAAATAAGTAAAATATTTAATATGCTTTATACATAAAGGAAATTGAACTTATCTTTACTTTTTTATTAATTGATGTAATAGTGTAATTAATATTTTTCCTTAAAATGTGTAATTAGTACTTTTATTAGCATTTTTTATAATATTTTTTAATACATCAACATAGGAACGTGACATTCGAACTCAGAACTCACAACCTTTTGGTAATATATACTTTAACCAATTAAGTTATTGCTCAAGTTGACATATCGGGAATGTCATTGTTACTTCCTCATACTAAAACAAATATTTTCTTATTTATATCTCTTCAAATGTTTGACGTTGTTATAATATTAGACTAATCATTAAACTTGCTTTTGTTCACGATTACTTTGTTGAAAAAGGTTAGAGAACGTTATAGTATTAAAAAGAGTATAATATACAATAAACAACTTACTTTAAATTCTATAGTTTTAATTATATATATTTATCCTACTTGAAATATAAAAAGTAGATCTCTATAATAAAAAAAAACAAAAAAACATATATATATATAAAAAGTAGATCAGATTATAATGATGTAATCTTTTTTATATAGTTTAAAAATGAGCCGCTAATCCAAGCGCGGTTCAAGTGTTAAAGCATCGACCTAAAAATCGACTCGACTGATCGATGAACACCCCTAAACGATATACTTAAGTAATATATCCAAGGTTCAAAATGTCGATGTCGATGAAAATGTCGAGGTCTTGATTTTACGGATATGTCGATGGACATGTTGATGTCGATGTATATTTCGAGAAAAAATACGGAAATTGTGGATATTGATACAAATTTTTTGAATTAGTAAATAAAACTTTAATTGTAGCTTAATTAGCTCATAATTATTCAATTTTGATCATCATATCTAAATATATCAATAATATACTTATAAAAATGTCGTTGCGATGATAACGTCAGAACAAAATCATGTATATACTTGCATGTAAATTATTTGAATTAGTAAATTAAAGTTATTGTGTATTGATTATGTTCTATCAATAATTTCTAGTCAAATCTAATCTTTAGTTCAATAATTAAACAATATATGTGAAATAAGTATAAAATTTGAAAAATAAAATTTATCATATACAAATAGTGGTGATATAATTTAACTAATACCAAATATTATATTTTCTTTTAATTCAAGTAAACACATAATCTTGAACCAAATTTGAATGGGAAACCTCCTTAATTTTTTTAGAAAAGATTTGATTTTTTTCTGTCAGATTTACTTTTTGTGACGCTAATAAACAGTAAAAATTGTTGAAAACAAAATGAAAAATGTCACAAAAGGTTAAAAAAAACGCGTTTTTGGTGGGAAAAAATCAATTCTTACGTTATCCATCGACACCACTAGTGAGTATATATTTTCAAATTATTAAAAAAAAAGCAATTTATCGATTATGAGTAAAAAAAAAAAAGGAAAACGACATTGCCTCGACATGTCGATATTTCCTCGACATTGGGGGAAAAACGACATTCTCCCCCCATATTGTCGATGTCGAGGTGCTCGACACATCGACATGTTGACGTATCGCTCGAAATTTGAAACCCTGGATATACCTAATATGTAGCATATCACTAATATATTTAGTCTGCCTAATATACTTTATATTACGTTCAGCGATATACTTGAAATGAAGTATATCATTGGATATACTTCATATATCATTAAGAAACTTTCAAGTGTTAATACTTAACATCTCCAACTCGATGAAGGTATATCAGATATACCTAATATAAACTCTATCATTTATATTTAGTTAATTGATATACTTCATATTAAATATATTAGTGATATATTTAGTATTCGGTATCTAACTGATATACTTGATTTATGAATAAGTAAACTTGCAATATATTTGAATAAAAGTCTTCAAGTCGAAGAATTGTTTTAGTGATTTAAAAAAGAAACGAAAAAATAATTTAAAAAATTTGGCCACATTAAAAAAGTGAGGATTATGTTTACAGATATGATAAATATTTTTGCTACCCATGGAAAAATACCTCTAAATAAACTTTTTTTTTAAATGTTAGCAAATAGTAATTTGATATTTTGAAATTTATGTGAGCAGTATGATGATTAAATTTTGGCAACGGTAACATTGGGGAAATTTAAAAAAAGAATTAAAATAAAAAATAGCTGGCAGATGCGAAACTGTCGTATTATATATTTTTGAAAAGGCTGACAGGATTCAGAGTCAGGGGCGGTGGGCGTGGGCGATTCTCATTCGTCACCACCACTAATCATTTCTCCTCCTTTCACAGTTGCCACGTGTCCCACCTCACGAAACATGCGCTCCTTTTTCTTTTCTTTTCTTTTCTCTTTTTTTTTTCTTCCAAAACCTCAAAATGTGGCCCCTCCCTCTATTTATTTCTTTCCATTTACGATTTGAATTATGTTTCTTGCTTTAATTTAGTGAATATGAAATTTGATTATTTTCAGATCCTGTAATTCAAAAATTTTGAAAATAACAGTTTCACTATTTTTCATATTTTAAATTTTAAATTTTAAGATATAGAACTATATTAAGAAAAATAATAAAAAAGTTAATAAATATATTATTTAATGTTATAAACTTACCTTCTTTTTATTAAAATTTAGACCTGTAAAATATAATATATTTTAAATTATACAAAATTCATAATAAAAATATTGATAAATTAATTAATACTATTTTAGGTGAAACTAAATATTTAGTTGGTAACTAAGTTTACAAATATATTGTTAAATACATCTTAAACAATTTCTTAAATTGAAATTCAATTACAAATTTACTATCAAACACATATTTTAAAATACCAAAAATAAAAAATATTGTTTTCATTGAATCCCTTGTTTTCATAGTTATGTTTTCTAATCACCAATCAAACGCACGCTAAATAATTTATCATGTATAATGTGACAAATAATTAAATTTTTCTATACTACAATAGTATTAGACATTTTATTGATAACTCTAAAAAAATTGAGATGAAGCACTTTTAACTAAGAGCTCCCAAAACATATCTTCTAATTTCCAATATAAGACTCAAACATATTTTACTTCTATTGAATTTTAATTTTTTTAATAAAAAAGATATTATTCTTTCCTAGTACCATCGATACAAAAAATGCATCTCAAGTGATTAGACAAGATAGGATTCAAACCTCCAAATTATAGGACTTGATGAGTTGATCAATATCTCTTATCTCGCTTCTTCCCCTTATCTTTCTCTCACTATTCCTATTCTCAGGATTGCTTGCCAATCTTGAACGGGTGCTTAGTAAGGTAAACCTATTTTCTTCATTTCTTTTCACTAAATTATAAGTGAGAAAATGACCAATGTGATTCATTAATTAAGCAATTTTACTTTGATACTTTTCTTAATCTTTTAGTTAATTAAAATGTCACTAAATATAATTTCAACGGACTAACAATTAGATGTCGTAACCAATTGAACTACGTGTTCAGATTAGCATGTTGAGTGAATTATTAAGGTCATTCTATCATATAAATTAAAATGTTGTCT